CCCATCTAGTGGGGACCCCCATTTTTCCTGAACCCCAACTTCCCATCAGGTCCACCCTCTTCACTTTCCCCCCAGCTTCATTTTTCTTTCACTGGCACAGGAGGGGGGGAGTCACCAGTTACAGGATCTTGCTGTCCTTCTGACATTATTGGGACCCTGCTTCTTCCTTTTGTGACAGGCCATAGCCCAAGTTGGCCAGGAACTCACTAGGTGGGCTAGTCTCAAACTTATGACTACCTCCCATTTCTCAAGTGATTGGATTACAGGTTTGAGCCACTGTGCTCCTCTGGCATCTAGTTCTAGGTGTCTTTATTGAAGTCCTAATGGGTTGATAGCTGCCCTGGAAGCTGGTGGTTCCTGGAGAACGGCGAGAAGCAGATCTGGATAGCCATGAAGGGTTCAAATCCAGGGCTCCTATTCCAGTGTCAGAAGATCTGATCACAGGCAGAGGGGGCCAGAGCAACTTTTCTGAAGGGACAGGGATGCCACAGTTGGCAGCTGGTACATGAGGGGTCCACAGCCTGGTCACAAGGGGAGCTGAAGTCGCTGTCTTTCTGACCATGTCCTAGGATCTATGTAGGGCCTCTCCAAAGGGACAAGGTATGCACCTCCACCCCTGGTCCCATCTTTATTCTGCGCTCAACTCCTGGGCCTTGAACTAATGCCTGATGGCCATCTGGTTACTAGTCCTTCAAGTGTGACACCCAAGGGCAAAGACTTAATCTTTGCATCCCTCACACGGTGCCAGGCAGGGTTGTGTAGACATTTGTTTCTGGGCTACAGAGCTGTCCAAGTCAATGTCTGCCATGCCCAAATGCCCAGCCTCAGTGCTAGAGGAGTTACCCCACAGCACCTTCCCAGCTAATAAGGCCAACTGATCTCTAGTCATTGACGTCACTCTGGACACTCATGTTAGTGGCCACTCTCACAAGGCTTTTTACATGAGGTGTAGCTGGGCACTGGGGCACCAGAGGTGTCTGCTGTCTGCAGTTGTTGGCAGTGCCACTCCTTGAAGGCCATACCAACTTTGGTTTTCTCCTCTAAGCATCTCAGGCCTGGCTTCTTCATTCCTATGGCTTCTCCTAGCCAAAAATACCCGCCATGCTCAGAGACTGTACCTTGCATACAGCTAACCAGGCATCCCTTGGGCAAGATGGGCTCAAGGTGCTTCCTATGCCTATGACAGGACTAATCTCAGACAGAAAGTGATAGGGTCTTGGGGTCTCCTTGGATCAGGGCTGTTGTGGGGCCTCAGTCTTTGGCAGTGGGATACCTAGGGCTGAATGGGCCTGCTGGCTGCGGGCCTCAGCCACCTGGCTTGGGGAGCAGAAGTCTTCTAGGAAGATCTGGGCCAGGTTCCGGAGTCTTGTGTTGGCTGAGAGAGAAAAGCGCAGCATGCACTGGACCACGGGCAAGGAGGTGAGCTCGGGATGGGGGCTGGTGCCGGGTGAACTCAAGTACATAAGTGTGGTGACAGCAGACAGCACCGTCTCCTCGTTAGGACTGGACAGGCAGTTGGTGATGAGCGGGATGCCTCCGGCCTGCAGGATGTGCTCCTTGTTGGCCTTGTCCGGGCACAGGTTACAGAGGCCCCCTGGAGAAAGGCAAGGATGAGCGGGGTGCTGTGGTCCTGGCTTCCTCTCATCTCTCCTTCTTTCTGGCTAGTGAGTCTTGGGGGAATGCCCAGGCCTGTGGAAAAGTCTGTCTATGGACAAGGACTGCAAAGTCACCACACCCCAGTCTTCTCTCAAGACTTCAGGAAGTCCAGCCTGCCACTATTATCCCCAAGTCAAGTGGACACAACACCATGCCTCACTGTTACTAGAATTCTGGAGAGTAGGAAAGTCCAGAGGGAGAGACCAGTGACTCTAGATTAAAAAAACTCGGTGGAGGGACTGGGAGGAGGAACTGCAGCCAGTGTGTAAAATAAATAAATACGTTTATTTAAAAAAGAAAAAGACTGTCGAGAGATGCTTAGAGGTTAAGAGTGCTTACTGATCTTCCAGAGGACGGGGTGCAGTTCCCAGCACCTACACGGTGGCTCACAATGACCTGTGACTTCAATTCCTGGGGCTCCAATGCCCGCTTGTCTCTATGGATACCAGGCATGCATGGAGTGCATGTACATACAAACACGGCCATAAAGACCCAAACCTGCATGGGCACAGGTCCCTTCTTCCATTCTCAGGTTAGGCCCCCTTTGGCCTTGGGGACAGATGCTACCTTTTCTAGGGGCACACTTTGCTTTAGCTCTGGCTCCTCAATGCAGGAAGCTGACTTCCTGTTCTCACTAACTCAGCTTCCTGCCATCAGGGCTCTAGGCCCCTCTGCCTAGCCGGCAGCATCTCTTGAAGATGAGAAGAGGGTGAGGGCCTCAAAGAAACCCTGGCGGGGGGCGGGGGGAGAATAAAAACAAACGACATAAGGACTGGCCAGGAGGTGGTGGGACACACACCAGCACTTGGGAGGCAGAGGTAGGCGGATCTCTGTGAGTTCAAGACTAGCTGGTCTAGAGAGCAAGTTCCAGGACACCCCCCCCCAAAAAAAAATGGTGGAAGCAGCTTGTGTTCCCAAAAATTGGAGCACAGGCTCTACCTGGGCTTCCCCTCTCCAAACTTCTTGGGCTAGAGATGGCTCAGCAATTAAGAACACTGACTGGGCCGGGCAGTGGTGCCACATACCTTTAATCCCAGCACTCAGGAGGCAGAGGCAGGTGGATCTCTGTGAGTTCAAGGCCAGCCTGAGCTACAGAGTGAGTTGCAGGAAAGGCTCCAAAGCTACACAAAGAAACCTTTTCTCAAAAAAAAAAAAAAAAAAAAAAAAAAAAGGAGCAGTGACTGCTCTTCCAGAGGACCCAGGTTCAATTCCCAGCACATACATGGCAGCTCACAACTGTCTGTAACTCCAGGATCCAACACCCTCACACAGACATACATGCAGGCAAAACACCAATGCACATGAAATAAAAATAAAACAAAAAACCAAAGACTGGAGAGAAAGCTCAACAGTTAAGATCACATACTGCTCTTGCCGAAGACCTGGGTTCAGTTCCCAGCGCTCCCATAAAGCAGTTCACAATCACTTCTAACTACAGCTCCATATTACCTGATGTTCATGATGTCCTCTTCTGGCCTCCAATGGCACCTGTGCCCACATGGACCTATCCCTACCTCCACCCCTGCCACATACATACACATACATGAAATAAAAAATTTTTAAATCTTAAAAATAAACAAAATAAAAAATACAAATTTTGGGGTTGGGGAGATGGTACTTGCCATGCAAGATGAGACCCTGAGTTTGATCCCTACCACCTACATAAAGTCAGACATGATTGTGTGGGTCTGTAGCCTCTTTATGGGGGGGGGGGGGGAGACAGGAGAGAGAGAGAGAGAGAGAGAGAGAGAGAGAGAGAGAGAGAGAGAGAGAGAATGTGTGTGTGTGTTTGGTGAGCTTCAGATTTAGTGAAAGACTCTGTCTCCAAAAACCACAGTGGAGAGCCACAGAGAAAGATCTACCTCTGGCCTCCACACTCAGGAACACACACACATAGAAAGAATTAATGTGTGTGTGTGTGTGTGTGTGTGAGAGAGAGAGAGAGAGAGATACTCACATTACAGCTCTGGCTGGTCTGGAACTTGCTATGTAGACCAAGCTGGCATTGAACTCACAGAGAGTAATCTGCCTTTGCCTCCCAAATGCTGGCATTAAAGTCCTGTGCTATCATGCCTCCCTACAACCCTTTACTTTTTTTTTTAAAGAAACCTGATTTAGGGGATGGAGAGATGGCTCAGCAGTTAAGAGCACTGGCTGCTCTTCAAGAGGACCCAGGTTCAATTCCCAGCACCCACATGTCTGTAACTCCTGTTCCAGGGGATCTGACTCCCTCACATAGACATGCAGGCAGAATACCAATGTACATAAAATAAAAATAAACAAAATTAAAAAAAAAAAAAAAGAAACCAGCTTTAGGATGGATCTCGAAAGATCTCACTTATATAAAGACCAAGACCAAGTAACAGCAACCCATGGGGACAGAGGTCAGAGCTGTGCAGCCTGCATGGGGCACATGGAGAAACAAGCCACATCTTGATGGAGATGCCATTACATGGAAGGGCACATACTTTAATGAATTTAAGGATTAATTAAACTGCCACTTATGTGCATTTTACTGTACATTCATCCTATGTACAAGAAGGAGCGGACTGGGGTGTGCCTTGGTGGTGGAGGGCTGGCCTAGGTCCCTGGGTTCACTCTCAGCACCACCAAAACAAAACAGAGAAAAGCAAGTCCTGACTAGCCAAAGAATTTGCTTTGGACAAAGACGGGAAAAAAAAACCAAAAAACAGCTAGAGGCAGGAGGCAAAGACTCTGCTGGACACCAGTAACCATAGAAACCCCTGAGAGGCAGGAGAGGAAATCCCAAGTATAACTTGAAAGGGAGAGCTGGATTTGCAGAAGCAGAAGAACTGGAGCCACAAAGCAGGCACTGGTGCTGGGAAGGGCTTTCAAAGGACTGTCCTGGGGATTAAAAGAGCGCTGGGCACCTGCTGACTGGGTGAGCGCTCCTTGATGAGATCCAAGATGTTACCTCAACTTAAGGATCTGACCACACCAGGGCACAAGGCTGACCGGGCCTGTGGTCAAATCTTCCTCGGGGTAGGATGAGGTGGCAAACCCTCATGGTCCTAGCTACTAGGGCAGCTGAGGAGGGAGGATCACTTGAGCTCAGGAGCCCATGGGCAATCTGGACAACATAGTAAGATCTTCCTTCACTCAAAAAATGTAAGACCAGGTCAGGAGATGCAGGTAAAGGTACTCAAGCCTAGGTGGGACCTGAGCCCAACCAACCACAGGAACCCACAGAAAGGTGGCAGAGAAACTGACTCTATAAGGTTGTCCTCTGACCCCCACATGCACACAATGGCATGTATGTGCATCCCTTACACATCACACATACAATAATAGTACAATAGAGTTTAAAAAAATAAACAGAAAGCTTCACTGGGGACCAGTCTGTTCTAGGGCTTTACTTCAGCACCTGTAAGAGAAAGGAAAATACACATGCCTGTATATGTTCACATCCATGAAACAACACGGAAACCGGCTGGCTGTAGGAGACAGGAATCGGTATGAGGACAGAAGTGGGGCGAGGCTTCTCTGAAAGTACCTTGTGATATTAGTTTTCTTTTCTTCCTTCCTTCCCTTCTTTTAAATAGATAGGGTCTCATGGTGTAGCCCATACTGTTCCTGAACTCATGGTCCTCTTGACTCTGTCACTCAAGTGCTAGAATTATAGGTGTGTATAACCACTCTTGGTGTATGACATTGCTTTTTTTTTTTCATTATATTGGTCAGACTGGCAAGATATTGCAGGTCAAGAATATATACCAAGATATATAACTATATTTAAAACAAATCTAAAGTAGGGTGTGGTGGCTCACACTTACAATTCCAGTATTTGGGAGGCTGAAGCAGGATATTGCCCCAAGTTCAAGGACAGCCTGGACTACACAGTGAATTGCAAGCTATCTTGCGTTATTGAGTTTGACTCTGTCTTAAACAATAACACAAGCATACATACATAGATACAGGCTACCTCATGCATAGATTATACAAAAATTATACATAGATACTTACATATGGATTTATAAATCCAGAAAATATCTCTGGAGAATATACTAGAAGCTAGCTGTAGGAAGCATTACCAAAGGGGCTGGAAACCATAGAGCAGAGTGGAGTGCCTGGCAGGCACACAGGAGGCCTTGGAGTCCACACCCTAGCACAGTAGCAACAACCACAGAAAGGGGGGACGGCCTGGTGACACACACCCTTAATCTCAGCACCTGGGAAGAAGAGGCAGGCATCTCTGTGAGTTTGAGGCTAGCCCAGTCTACATAGCATGTTGTAGGCCTGCTAGTACTACATAGTAAGACGTTATCTAAAAACAAACAAACAGCAAACAAACGAACAAAAAAAGGAAAGAAAAGGTGGTACACTATGATGTATACATGCATGCACATGACAAGGCATCCTATGTAGCCCTGGAGGGCCTGGAACTCTCCATGTAGACTAGGCTAGCAGTGAACTTCTGGAGATCTTCCTGCCTTTGTCTCCCAGTCATGGGATTACAGTTGTGTACCACCATGTTGGGATTTCACTCTTGAATTCTGTAAATTCTATACCATGCTGGCCAGTTGTGTGTCGCATAAATAAGATACATACAACTGCTTATGCCTAGAACAAGCCTGCTTGGTCTCAAACTAGAGGGCTCAGGAGATCTTCTGGCCCAGGACTCCCAAGTAGCTGGGACTGTGCGTGCATGCTACTATACTCCGATTGTACTTTACTTGAAAAGAAAAAGACAACTCTTTCAAATGCCAAAGACATCTAATTAAATCAAGAGAAATACACTGTTGCTTTCCAAAGAAGCTGGAGACTTAGCCTTTGAGCACTACCACCACCTGGTGGCATCGTTATGTATTGCAAGATATAGGAAGACAATTTAACCTGAATTCTCAGAGGTCGCTTTTTTGGGGGTGTGGAGTGGGGATGTGGGGTGAGGGGTGGGGGTGTGGTTTCAAGTCCTGCAACTCTGATCAGACTGGTTTCTAACTCACAGAGATCCACCTGCCTCCGCCTCTGGATTAAAGAGCTGGGATTAAAGGCATGTGCCATCACAGTCCTGCTAGAAGCCATTTCTTGATTCTAGCTTTAGCAACAAAACTGCTAAAACCCTGTGGGGCCCTAAGAATCAATCAGTTTTCATAGAAGCAAGATACTCATCTCGTTGCTCTGTATGTCCTGGTTGCTTCTAGGATAGTACAGACAGATGTACAGGATGTGTTTAACTAGGGCTTCAGCTCAACTCTTTTTTTGAGACAGGGTTTCTTTGTGTAGCCTGGCTATCCTGGATCTCACTCTGTAGACCAGGCTGGTCTCGAACTCAGATCCCCCTGCCTCTGCCTCCTAAGTGCTGGGATTAAAGGTGTATGCCGCCACCACCAGCCATGGACAGCTTTTGTGTGACTAAAGCCACTGCCTGGTGGCTGTTAGTTCCTCTGTGATTAAATGTGGCCCCTGGCCTTTGGGGACCACCTATGCTTTCGCACCAGAGCGAACTCCTAACTGTGGCAGAGGAGACACAGTGGAGTAGACACAACAAACAAGGGAAGATGAAGCCCTGGAGTTGAGCTTGGGCTCTGCCCGCTGGTTCCATTGGACACAGAACTCAGATCCTTGAAGATTAGGGTAATAGTAGTTACAGTTACTAGATAACTCTAGTTATCACAACTAGTGGGAGTCAACCTTGTTGAGGAGAGGTTTCCTGATATACAAGGGTTTAGTCCCACTTGCTGGGCACAGGAAAACAGCACCTCCCCCTTCCTGGGAAATGACAGCCAGTCCAGGCTATGGTGGCAAGGGACTACTGTGTCTTTCAGAGCCCCACCACAGCTGGTGGGATAATGGCAACCAGTGATGCTCCAGCAGATCTCAGGCTCCTGGTCTCAGAGAGGCAGAAAGGCATGTGTCCAAGTCAGGGGACGGCTCGGGAAGTCAGTGTTCTCCTACAATGTGGGTCCTGGGGACTGAAAGGTTGTCAGGTTTGACAACAAAAGCCTCTCCCCAATGAGCGATCTCACTGGTCCCTTTCACTTCATTTTTAAACTGGTCCTTAAGCTTTACTTAAACTTTGAACCTGGTTGTGCGACCCTTTATGCAATGTAACTTCAAAAACCATAAAATCATCTCACCTGCACCCACGTCTTGGGTGTGTACTATTGTTCTTAAGTACCCACCTCTCTGACACCCACACTTAGACCTACACGGTGGAAAATCTCCTTTCTACTAACTTTGCTTCACTCTGACTCATCCTGAAATTCTTTCCAAGGACACAGGTTTATGTGGGTGGAGGTCCCTCAGCCCACCAGCCTGAGTTCCACTGGAACAAGGTCCTGCTGCAGCTCCTAGCTAACAATAAGCGTGTCTCCAGGGTGAGAGGCAACAACACCGGGGAAGGACAGAGCAGGCCCACACTTGTTGATTGGTATTTTACTCTTTTGGGGAGCCCGCCACCCAGCTCCCAAATAAGTCACACATGGAGATGTATTCTTACTTTTGAACGCCTGGCCTTAGCGTGATTTAGTTTCTAGCCAGCTTTTCTTTACTTTAGATTATCCCATCTACCTTTTGCCACTGGGCTTTTCCCGTTTGCTTACTTCTGTCAATCTCACTCCATTGCTGGTTGTGTAGCTGGGTGGCTGGCCCCTGATGTCCTCTTCCTTCTCTGGCTCCTCTTTTCAATCCTCCATCTCTTCTCCTTTCTCCTCCTAGATTTCTCTTTATATATGTTCTCTCTGCCTGCTAGCCTCAACTATCCTTTCTCCTGCCTTGCTATTGGCCAGTTCTTTATTAGACCATCAGGTGTTTTAGACAGGCACAGTAACACAGCATCGCAGTTAAACAAATGCAACAAACAAAAGTAACACACCTTGAAATAATATTCTACAACACACACTGAACAGCATTCCCTCACTGCACGTTAGTGAACTGCAGGAGCTGACAGCTATGGTCTGGTGGTCAGGGTAGAGTACAACCAGCATGCTGGACTGCCTTTCTTCACTTAACACTGCCTAGGCATCGGCTGGCAAGCTAAGGATCCACACTCCTACTGCTCCTACTTTTCTAGAGGGTGAGAATTCCTGAGCAGAAGGGTGGTTCCCCTGATGGGATACTGTCCTATCCTACCTGGGAGAAGAGAGATATCAGCTTTAAAGCCATCTGGATTCAGGTCTATGGGCGGAGGCCTAGGGGATTCTATAGTTGCAGGCAATGACCTGAAAAGGCCAGTTAATTCCCTCAAGTAGCTACTTACAATTCCCCTGACAGGTAACCAAGGGAAATCACACGAGATGGTAACTGAATCCAAGCTGTCTGATCCCCTAGCCCAGCTCCTTCATATCACACTCACTTTGCTACTTGCCAACAAAGACATTGGTTTGGGTTCTGAGAGACATCGCCATGGGCAATCTGACTCAGCTTGTCTCTTGCCTGTTTTGTTTTTTGGGGGGTGGGGGGGGTGGGGGGTTGTTTTTGGTTTTTCAAGACAGGGTTTCATTGTGTAACAGCCCTGCCTGGCTGTCTTGGAACTCACTTTGTAGACCAGGCTGGCCTCGAACTCATAGAGATCTGCCTGCTTCTACCTGGGATCAAAGGTGTGTGACACCACACCCTGATCTCTTGCCTGGTTTTTTCAGAACCAGTCCTTCATAAGGCCTCTGCATCAAGTCACAGGACTGCATCCTTTTGAAAGAATCTCTTTTGCCTCCAACCCTCTCCTTCCATCTTCCTCCTCAGGCCAAAAGACCTGAGCCTCCTTCAAGTGCAGATAAGCACAGCCAGGCTTGCTTCTCAGGGAGATCGCCTTCTTCGAGCTCCCGCCAGGGACAAAGACTAGAAGCTCCAAGGTGGACACAGTGCTCCGGGCTGTAGTGTGGGTGCTTGGCAGTGCTCCCTCCAGTGCCAGAGGCTTCCAAGGAAGGGGAATGATGACAACCACTGAATCTTCTAGGTCCCACTGGGACTCTCCTTTTCTGTTGCATATAATAAATACAAGAGCAATCTAATCTGCACAGCGTCCCAGAGATTCAAGGCTGAGAGCTGGAGCTGCACTCCATACTGCAGCCTTGGACCAGGTGAAGATGGCCAGGCCTAAGTGCTTGGAAAGAAGGAAATGAGATGACACTGGCAGTTCTTGAGGAGGGACAGGACACAGTCATCCACTCAGTGGAGCTGCCCGGAGAGTAGACCCAGGTCAGGCCCAAGTCTCCCATGGAGCCTCCAAGTTGGTAGAGGATCTCATGTGTCCTGGGCTGAGAACACTGCCTCCTACGGGGGCAAGGAGCCAGCAGGACAGACACTGTTTGAACCTGGAGGAACGGCTGCTCTGTGATTGGGTCCTTTTCTCTGGAGTCAGCAGTCTACGTTAGAGGAGCTCTATGGCTCCCAGGTGGAAGCATGGCCACTGTCCCCATTCAGAAGGCAACAGTAGTGAGGCAGAGGTGCATATGGAGGCACTTGGGAACACATCTAAAGACCAACGGTTGTTTGTAGGGTTTTTTTTGTTTAAGATGAAGTCTCACTCTGTACACCCTAGCTGGCCTCTGCCTCCTGAGTGCTGGGACTAATGGGACTAATGGTATGCATGAGCTTCTAGAGACTTTTGAGACAAAGTTTTGTAAACTGAGGCTTGCCTTAAACTCACTATGTAGCTGAGTCTGACCTTGAACTCCTGATCCTTCTTCCTCGCAGTCTGGGGCCAATTTTTAGACTATTTATCTAGTATAACATTCTTCTAGAACAGAGCTGGCTTGAACTAACAATATCTAGACAACTGGGCTCCTGCCATAGCCCAACTATAGAGGCCCCATAGGAGTGCTCTGAAGACCCGTAGGCAGACTTAGAGCGCCACCATTCCCCCTGCACGTGAGGTTCAATCCCCAGTGTGCCTACAGCTCCACAGGCCTCTTCTGGGTCCTGACTGCTAGGGGAATTTCCTCAGCACCACACTTAATGGAGCGGTTGCTTGTGGAGGATAAGTACAACTGGAATTTCTGTGTGCTCTGGAGCTCCCGCACAGTGAAAAGAGACAGAGGACCTGTATGCCAGCTCTGTGGATCGCAAACATCAAGAAGATGTTTGCTGGGTATCTCTAAATACCAATGTATTCAGGAATAAAAGGTGTCACTGGATTGTTATGCTATTAGATCGAATTTCTAGGTTACAGGAAACGAAGGAGACAGACGGACAAGCTAAATCACTGCTGCTGCTGCTTCTTTTTTCTTCCAAGACAGGGTTTCTCTGTGTAGCTCAGGCTGTCCTGAAACTCTCTTTGTAGACCAGGCTGGCCTCAAACTCATAGAGATCTGCTTGCCTCGGGAGTGCTGGGATTGAAGGCTTGCGCCACAACTGCCCGACTTAAATCACCCCTTCTTATATTGTAAGTCACCACCACACATGAGGTTATATAACTGAATGTGGAATCCTGAAACAGCTGGCCAGTTGGGTATGGTGTGTACAACTTTAATCCCAGCCCTAAACATATATCTACCATTTGTTACTGGCCTCAAAGTTATTTAGCTGAAAATCACCCTAAATTCTTGATTCTCTTGCTTCCGCCCCCCTTAAAATGCCAGAGCTATATTTATTTGTTATAGTAATGTTTGTTTGGTGTAATGTATATATATGCAAAAATCTTCTCAAGACAGCTAGGTGATGGTGGTTCAGGCCTTTAGTCCCAGCACTCAGGAGGCAGAGGCAGGCGGATCTGAGTTTGAAGTCAGCCTGGTCTACAGAGTGAGTTCCAGGACAGCCAGGACTACATGGAGAAACCCTGTCTTGAACTGCACCCCCTGGCCCCCCATTTTTTTCAGGCAAATAGGGCTTCTGCGTGGGAAAAGGTTAAGAAGCCCTGAGCTAAATGATATGCTTGAGAGGAAAGAGACACACAGGAAGGTGGGCCACCTTATAGACATGGTGTAGACCATTCAACAATCAGCATTACGGAAAGAGCATCTTTTGAGGAATTGTAATCGCTACCCTCCAAACATGAAGCATGCTGCCATTTTCTTTTTGCCTTCTAAGTGCTGAGATTAAAGGCACGTGGCACTGCACATGACCGACAGCTGTCATTTCATCAGTACAACTGTGACTATTTACAGGAGACACTCCCGCTGTACTTGCTGACTACTGATGCTCCCTCAGAAGGGGACAGGGAGAGCCATTAGGCCCTCACTCAAGATTCTAGGGGCTCCTTCCTATACCTCTCAGTCGCTGTGACTGTGCCCTAACCGCTGGGGCCTTGGAGGTGCTACAGTTTATAGATGGTGGGAAGCTCCTGAGGGGGTAGGGACTCCATCTATGGCGAAGTCATCCTGTGCTGGGGCAAGTCTATTTGGTGGCACAGCTGCCACGGGGTCACCCCATTCTGTAAGCAGTGGCTGCCCAAGTTGTATTTTGGTTGCTGCTGTGCTCTACAGAAGGCACAGATACTGTTTCCATCTCCGCTGGTGAAGACTCGCCCAAACATACAGATATAAGAGAGATTGAAGGGCACTTGCTGCCACGCCTGACATCCTGAGCTTCATCCCTTGATCTCACAAGGTGGAAGGAGAGAACTGACTCCTGCATGTTGTCCCTGGACCTCCACATTCCCATCCTGATACACACAAACACAGAGACACATTAAATAAATGTGAAAGATATGGAAAGGATTTTAGAAAAGAGACTGAAGGTAATCTATATACTAACTCCCTTCCAAGAGTGCACCGTGGAAAGGGTGAAGGAAGCAGTTCCACACTAGAGATGTCTGGGCAAACATTCCCTCAGCCAGGCCATGAAGGTAGTATCAGGAGATCGATACTGGCACTAAATGCTCCTAACATGATATGGTAGAAACAGCACCTTCCTTTCATAGGAAAACACAAGAAAAACATCATGCTAGGCATGGTGGCACAAGTCTTTAATCCCAGCACTAGGTAGGCAAAGGCAGGGTGATCTACATAGGGAGTTCCAGGCCAGCCAGAGCTACACAGTGAGACCCTGTCTCAGAAAACACCACCACCCCCGCCCCAAGTAAGACATGATCAAGTCATGTATGCCATGTGGGATCTTGGGCCAGAAAAGGGTATTAGGAAAAAATGAAGAATATTTGATTAATATAAAGACTTTGGCTAGTCATGATGTATCAATATCAGCTCATTAATTATAGCAAACAAACCATACAATGGAGGAAGTTAAGATAGGAAAAAGTGGGTGTGGCTATGTGGGAATTTTTATATTTGGAATTCTTTCTTCTTTGCTGAGAAAGAATCTTGAGGGGCTCAGGCTTGGACTTGCTATGCGGCTGGAGATGTGCTAGAGTTCCTCATTCACCTGTCTCCATCTCCTGAGTGCTGGGCTCAGGAGCAGCGGCCACCACACACTCTACCAACTGAGCTATACCCCAGCCTCTTCAAGTTTCCTCAACCTGTTCTAAAATGAAGTTTATCTGGGAGAGAAAGAGATCTCTCTAAGGACACAGTCAGACAAAATGTACAGGGCCCAAGCTGGACCCTCGTTTACACAAACCACCACCAACAAAAAATGTCCTTTTAGGCTTGCAAGATGGCTCAGTGGGTAAAGCACTTGCCACCAAGCTTCATGACCGGAATTCCATCCCTAGGACTCACATGGTAGAGGAACTGACTCTACAAACTGTTCTCTGAAAGCCAGGGATGGTGGTTCACCTTTAATCCCAGCATCCACGAGGCAGTCAAGTTTTGGGCCAACCAGGGCTACATAGTGAGATCTCGTCTCAAAAAAAAACAATCACAAAATTGTCCTTTGACCTGGCACATGCCCTGCCCTCTCCCATAAGTAAAAAAGTTATTTAGAGTATTGTTAGAGAAATGTACATAATTAAATACTAAACAATTTTGGAATTATCTTCTTCCAATGCTGAGGATTGACTAACAGAGTCTCAGGCATGTGGGTACAGACACCATTATACTGGTGCTCCATCACTGAACACATTCCAGGCCTGAAGATATTCCTACTAAGGGTTTCTTTCCCAGTGTATGCAGGGTTCCTTTCATATTGCATGGGGAAATGCTATTATTTTTTTTTAAAGATGTATTTATTTATTATGCATACAGTGTTCTGTCTGCAGGCCAGAAGAGGGCACCAGATCTTGCTCTGTAGGTTGGTGGGAATTGAACTCAGGACCTCTGGGAGAACAGCCAGTGCTCTTAACTGCTGAGCCATCTCTCCAGCCTGGAAATGTTATTATTATCTTTTTTTTTGGGGAAATGTTATTTTTTAAGTTGCTTGCCAGGCAATGGTGGCGCATGCCTTTAGTCCCAGTCTCAGGAGGCAGGTGGATCTCCATGAGTTAGAACAAAACTTCGCTTGTCCTGGAACAAAGCGAGTTCCAGGACAGCCAGGGGTGTTACATAGAGAAACCCTGTCTTGAAAACAAACAAACAAAAAGTATGTGCTGGAAGAATTTTTGTTTTTCTTAAATTCTAAACTTCTTCCCATGACCCAGATCTAAAGCCCCCGTGTTAATCAGTCTAACTTCACTCTATCCCATCCTCCTCTTCACTTAAAAAACGTCCCCTCTAGCCGGGCGGTGGTGGCGCACGCCTTTAATCCCAGCACTCGGGAGGCAGAGGCAGGAGGATCTCTGTGAGTTCGAGGCCAGCCTGGGCTACCAAGTGAGTCCCAGGAAAGGCGCAAAGCTACACAGAGAAACCCTGTCTCGAAAAACCAAAAAAAAAAAAAAAAAAAAAACGTCCCCTCTAACAACTTCCTGCTTAGGGCCTTTGTCCACACTGCATCCATGAAGGCTAAAACTGAAGTAGTGCTGCCTCCTGTTGCTACACCAATCATGCTGTTTATTTCCATCTTGCTTGCTTGTCCACCACCTTGCTCCCCTTCTAGAAAACAAACTCCTTTAGGGCAAAGACTTTCCCCAACCTGTTCACCATCTCTCCAGAACTTGGAGCAGTACTTTCCTTATGTAGCACACAGTAATAAATATCTATCATTGAGCCGGGAAGTGGTGGCGCACGACTTTAATTCCAGCACTCGGGAGGCAGAGCCAGGCAGACCTCTGTGAGTTCGAGGCCAGCCTGGGCTAGAGTGAGTTCCAGGACAGGCACCAAAACTACACAGAGAAATCCTGTCTCGAAAAAGCCAAAAATTCTATCATTGGGGAGAGGAGATGGCTCAGTGGTTAAAAGAGCTTGCCATTCAAACTTGACAACTTGAATTCAATACCAGGAACCTACCTAAAAAAAATTCAGATGCAGTGTTGATCACCTGTAATCCCAGTACTCTTAGGAGAGACTGGGAGGTTGAGACAGGAGGATCGGCTGGAGGCTCATGGGCCAGCTATGGAGTACGCTGCTGCTCTACTACACAGAAGAAACAAGAGCTCCTGCCTCAGCAAACTGGAAGCAGAGAACTGATAACCATGACTATTTTACCTATTCATTTGAGATAGCCATCTTACCATGTAGCCCTAGGCGATCTAGAACTCAATATGCAGACTAGGCTGGCTTTGAACTCACAGAGATCCACCCACCTCTGTCTTCTGAGATAAAAGGCATATGCCACCATACTCAGTGAGAACTGACTTTTGAAAAACTGTCCTCTGACTTTCATGCATACACTGTGGTGCACATACCCACACTCATTCAAACACACACACACACACACACACAGTTTAAAAAAATCTATCATGAATAATTCAAACGGTCATCTAACCCCAGGAGTCCTAAGCTATACATTTCAAGTCACCATTGCGTCTCTTGATATATAAGAGCAAGCTCCAAACTTCTTTCAAAGAAGTTTCAACTCACTTCCTTGCTTATCTCTTTTCTAAAGACTAGTTTGCCTTGTAACAGTGTCCTACTCTGTATTCCAGGCTGGCCTCCAAGTCACGGCAATCCTCCGGCCTCAGCCTCTCCTAATGCTGGGTTTACAGGCGAGTGCCATCACGCCTGGCTTAAGGACTCACTTCTAAATCTCTGATGTCGCTCTAGTCAGTATCTAGTCAGTACCCTTACCAATAGCAAACTTCACTAGAGTTTCATTCTCTTCTGACAGCGAGTCGAGGAATAGGTCTAGCACTTGCAGCTGCCGCAGATACTGGTAGTTGCCCGGGTCATAGGCGAAGTTGGCAAGGTTGGCGAGGACCTGCTCCTTGGCGTCTGCAATGGGAAGCGGTACTGGGGTCGGGCCCGTGCGGCTGCTGCCGTCGGGGCCCTTCCCGGTCCCTTCCCGGTCCCTCGTGCCCACCCCACACCTCCCACCTTGGCTCTCCGTCTCCTGGAATTCAGTGACCAGCGCCTGCAGGTACCCTAGCCGCCCGACGTGGGGGTCTATCTTGGGTTTCTGTGCCATGGTTGGACTGACGAAGGAGCCGGGAGGACGGGTGGGAAGGAAGAGGCCACAAGGCCGCGCGAAACCCTCGCCGGCACCCTGACCTGTCCCGGGGGCGACCGAGCGGCAGGCGGCAAACTCTGTCCGGTCCTGGGTTCGGAGTCTGCAGTGATTGGCAGCTGGAGATGAGATATGGGGATGGGTAGGGATCTCAGGATCCTGTCAGAGCCGGTTTGAACACCGAATTTAAGCCGGGTGACAAAAAGCTGTGGCGATTTGGAACCAGAGGCACAACCCTCACCGCGCTCTCCACACCGCTTCCGGGCTCAGGGCGGAAATCGCTCTAGCCCCGTCTCCGGGAGCGGAAGGGGCAGGACCAGCACGGAATTGGGCGTGGCTAGTGAGCGTGCCCTGGACTTCCCGCGCGATTTCTCGAGCTCGTGGCTTTGGGCGTCCGCTGTGCTGCTGCGGGGATGTGTGGAGCGAGGGGAAAGGAAAGAGGAGAAAGGGAGAGAAGGAAAGATGGATGGGACTGACAGATAGATGGACCTTATGGTCGTCTAGGCACGTGGTACTTGAGTCCCAGCACTCGAGGAAGAGGCAGGAGGAGGACCTCTATGGGTTTGAGAACAGCCAGAGTTCAAGGCAAGCCAGGGCTACATGGCAAGACCCTGCTGCAAAACAAAACACCTCCCAGACCCAAAACAAGGGTTCCAAGGAGCGTCAGGGAGGGAGGCAGCTTTGCCATGCTGTCGCCTTGGAGGTGGAGGATGCGGGCAGTGAGTTTTTTTAGGGCAAGGGTCAAGGGTCATGTACTTAGTTAGCTCCGTGTTTGGAACCAGGGGCCTGAATTACAGCAGAAGGGCTTATGTACTTTACCTTTCCCTGGCCCCCACTTCTGGGGTTCAAGTCTGTGGTTAATCCCTGCCCAGTGCCAACCTGGGACAAGAGGTTTTTTTTTTAAATTAATTTATTTCTATTTCATGTGCATTGGTGGTTTTTTGCTATGGAACTGGAGTCACAGACAGCTGTGAGCTGCCATGTGGGTGCTGGGAATTGAACTGAGATCCTCTGGAATAGCAGTCAGTGCTCTTAACCACTGAGCCGTCTCTCCAGACCGGGACAAGAGTTTTGACCTTAGTGTGTGTGTTTGAGTACCGAGGCTTCTCCATGAGAACTCTGGGTTTTGTTGAGGAACCTGTCTAGCTTAGGAAAGTACATCTCACCTCTAGATGGCCAGGGGTCTTTTTGACCTCTGACTAGAAAGAGCATCAAAGACCTGGGGACCAGGAACCTAGGACTTGGGGACAATATGGAAGCAAGCTCCACCCTTTTGTGGCCAGGAACTGCCTCAGACCATCCCTAGAAGATTTTGAGGGGATGAGCAAAGTGTGGGTTCTGGAATCTCAAAGACCATTCAGTCTCTCTCATTTTCAGGGTCCTTTTAGCACAAATCCTAACTGGTCTTAATAATAAAAACTTGGAGTCAGATATAGGGGTAAATGCTGAAAGATTAGGGAGACAAAGGAGCAAGCCACAGCCACTTCTTACCTCTACTGAATCTTCCCACTGAAAGGGGCCTTTGCTCCTGTCTCTACCCCACCTTATCACTTCCTCTCTCTGCCCACCCATACACTTCCTGGGTGGAAGTGTTTCCTCTTCCCAAGTACTGGGATCCAAGGCATGAGATCCCAAGTGCTGGCATTAAAGGTGTGTGCCACCACTGCCTGGCTTCTCTATTGCCTAGCTCTGCACTTTGATCTTCAGGCAAGCTTTATTTGTTAGAGCACAAACAAAATATCACTACAGCTCTTCCTTTGGGAAAGAAGCCTCAGCCTTTGGTTTTGTGCCAAGGGCAGAGTAACATGGACTTATTCTCTCCACCCAAGCCCTGGAACACAGTAGATGCTCAATAAATATTTATTAAAGGGATTTTGCCCAGAGATTTTTTTCTTTTGAACTTACTATGTAGCCAAGAATATCTTGAACTTCTCGTCCTCTTGTTTCTACCTCCTGAGTGTTGGGATTACAACACTTCTAGGCTTATTTGAGGCTGGGGATTGAACCCAGGGCTTGGTACACACTACCATTTTAAGCTACATTCCTACCTCGTTCCTTCTTTGCTTGTTGCCCATAGATTAATACCATTATTACCAATGGGCAAGTGAGATGAAAATTTCCTAGCTGGAGGTTCACGGATACCATTTCACTTAAATGTTTCCTGGAAGTGGACCCATTAGCCAGTCCAACTCTGTTTTCCATTAGGGTGGGAAAAAAAGGTCTTGGCATTTTCCCTTCAGAGCACAAGCTATCCCTGGTGGCCAAGCTCAGGACCAAGTAGGGATCAGGAAAACAGTGGGGTTTAGACACAGAGGCAGACTTTTCAATCTGAAGGTGACATTATCTTATGCAGACGAAACTGTAGAAAAAATTTACATTTATTTTTGTGTGTGTGTGTGTGTGTGTGTGTGTGTGTGTGTGTGTGTGCCACAGGGCACATGTGGAGGCCAGAGGACAGCTTGTGGTAGTGGGGCCTCTCCTTCCACCATGTGGGTCCCAGGAGTCAACCTCAAATTGTCAGGCTTGGCAGCAAGTGCCTTTACCTACTCCACCCAAGGTCTTGAGATAGTGAGCAGGAAGCCCAGAGCCACACAGCAGATGCACCACTGCAGTACTTCCTTTGGCCCCAAGGGGGCACTCTTGACTGCATCTCAGCAGAGATGGGCTAGTCCTAAAGATGCTTATTCATGCCAGATGGATATGCGGAGGAGGAAGGCTGGCGTCAGTCATGAAAATAAAATCATTTTTCCTGATAAGGTTTTCTTGCTGGAGTCTGGTTGAACCAGAACCAACAAACAAGACCAAGAAATCTCTGCCAAGCTGGGAGAGTGGAGGAAATTTACTCAGGCCTGTTTTCCTGCTTTATTAGTCCAGAGTTTATGACCCGCTGCAGGGAATGTTTTTGTATATAATTCAAACAGTCTGTTTTCCCATTCCCTGGAGTGCCCTGTTGGGACAAGCCTGGGCTGATGACAGCTAGTCCTGGGTGATGACCTCAGAGGGCACCACCAGAAGTGTGTGCATGGGCATAGCTCCAGACCATGCACTCAGGCTCGCAGCAGCTGCTGATTTAGCCAACTACTGCCTCAGGGTTGATAGTTCTAACACATCCTGGAGAAAGGAGAACCTCAGAAGGCCAAGAACAGAGCTCAGGCTACCGTTTGCATATACAAACCCAATTTTCATAATGTTCCTTAGGCTACCTAGCCGGCCAGCCTTCCTGTCTCCTGGTCAGTCAAATGTCTGCCTTCCCTTACATGGATACAGAGTAGGGGAAGAGAGAACATGCTGGCTCAGGCCCTGCGTGATGGTAGAAGACTCCTCAGACTTCATAAATTCTGAGACCCAAGCAGGAGGACCCCCTCCAGGACAGCAGCTTCCTCTCCTGCTCCCTGCAGAGGTAGCAGGACCAGCACTCCACCAAACAGTCAATTTGTCCCATCCTGTACCGACGCAGACTTCTCATCCTGGCCCTCCATCTCTGCCTCTCCTATGGCTCCAGTCAGCGTGAGGCTCAGCTTTGCAAAGCAGCACCCTTGATCTTCCTGACCTAAGGGGTCAGGGCTGATTATGTGGGAAGAGGGGAGGAGGTTCTTGGAAGAAAGGCGAATTCTTCAGAATTGTCTGCAGAGTTGCCAAGGACAGAGAGCGTCGAAATGGGAAGGTTGGGTGGGAAGACCCCGAGTGTTGGGCTGTAGGAGCAGCTGTGAGAAGCCAGCCCAGGCTAGCTAGCTATGACTGCTTCAAACAGGACTCAGACCCATCTTCTTGGGACCCAGGGAAGAAAGTCAGGAAGGCCCATTTCTATACTCTCCTTCCTGGAAGAAGGTCCCTGATGGACCTCAGAGCTCTGAGGCAGGTCACATGTGACTTCTGGAGTTCAGACAGTGGTCACGTACATGTTTTCAGGGCACAGTCGCTTCTTGGTGTCATCCTTGTCTTCTGAAGTGAGACCCTGCATTGGGGTAATCTCTGAGATGGTGTCCTCCACCTTGGCTGGCCCATTTTGCTTCAGCTGCTTCTTCTCCACGGCGTAGAAGCCTCCTCCTATGAAGAGAGAGGCTGAGATGAGCAAGAAGCTTGACACGAAGAAAATATAGCTGAAGTTGTTGGTCATGTCCAGCAGGAGTCCTGGGGGACAGAGAACAAGTTACTCCACCATGGAAGCTTTGGGGTCCTCCAACTAACTTGTGCATTTGAGGAGGGTAGAGATTTTAGATTCATTTCCGCTCAACAAGAAATTGTGACTAGCACCTTGGAAGTGCACAGTAGATGTGTGGAGTGAGAGGAGGGGGGAAACACCTGGCTTCCGGCCTAGGCAGGTGTCCTTCCCAGGAGAACCTAAGGGCCCTTTACCCTTGGGGCAGGGAAACCAGGGAGAAGGGCTAGTGGACTCCTAGCTGTTTGCCCAGCCACAATCCCGCCTTCGGCCCTAACCGGACCGCTTTAGGCGTTCATTTGCCTGCAGGACTTCCTGGGAAACTGAAACTCACACCGGAGAAAAAGACTCACTGATGCTGGGTGTTGGTGGCGCACACCTTTAATCTCAGCACTCAGGAGGCAGAGGCAGGTAAATCTATGAGTTCGAGGCCAGCCTGGTCTACAGCATGAGTTCCAGGACAGCCAGGGCAACACAGAGAAATCCTGCCTCAAAACAAAACAAAACAAAACAACAACAGCAAAAACAACTCACTGAGCTGAGCTTCAGGGTCTGAGCACAGTACCATAGTAACTGCCACAGCACTTGTGTTGACTACCCCCAGGACCAGCCTCCTCCCACCCGCTCTGAAGCTCCATCTCTCAGCTGTGCAGTAGCCTTCCCCTATGGGTCTCATCTTACAAATTCTGCTTGTTTTCCTCCTAGCATCTGTCCCCACGTGTCCCTTTGCTTCCATTCTTGAAGGTAAGGCCCAAGAGCAAGGTTTTGACCTGGTGCACTCTGTGACTGCTCTGGGTGGATGGTAACGGCACATGCTCTCTTCCACACTTTGTAGCTGGCATTATAGCTCCAAGAAGAAAAGTGGTCCCTGAGCTGCTGAGAAAAGGGGAGGACCCACAGGTTCTAAGTCCCTTGTGACAAAGGTAGACTGAGCTCAAATCTGTCCAGTTGTTGTCCTTTGCTTTACCCCCTATGCCCTACCCATACAGGCTCCACCTGGGCATGCCTGACTGCCCTCCCTCCCAGGCTCTCACCAGCCAATGGTGGAGAGATGAGAGAAGCCACACCACATAGGACAGTGAAGATGCCCAGGGCACTGGGGAATCGA